AGAGTGACCATGGAACCTAATATGATCAATTAATTATAGTTCCGAATCAGATAACTAAGATCATTACATTTTCGATATGTATAATTGAATTAGACAAAAATAATTGTTTCACTTAAGAGTTTAACTTCTGTAACGATGATAAAGAAATGATTTTGCATTTAAAATATAAAAAGCGTTATTAAATTTGGAAGCGAAATACTTCATATTTTTCATTAACATCCTAAAACAAAATTAAATTACATGTATAACCGGAAATTTCAACTTTTATTGATGAAAAATTAATTTCGTAACTATCAGATTCGTACCAGACTTTAAAAAAACATGTTGTATCGATCTGTACTAAACATAAGACAGCGATAAATGCGTCTAATTAAGGTTTATTTAAAAAAAATCAATGATTCCTAATAATATTTAAACAGGTTGCTTTCAAAAGTCTTAATTTTTTGTCAATTTCTAGTGCATACATTAATTAAAAATCAAAACAAAAAATGGGGTCACTGTTTCTTTTGACGCTACGGTACATTTAATACATGACCTTTTGCACTGAAACTGTGACTTAAAAATAATTCAATTCTTCGAAGTTTTTCCTCCAAAATTTTTATCCAAATAAATCCTGGGACCAAATATACGCTTATTCTCTCCTGAATAGACACATCAATAACTGTTACAAAGAATAAGTTTCAAATTACTTGGCATAATCAATTATTTGACCCTTCTGCAGTCATTGTCATTGTTCTGGACATAAAAATTGAACACGCAAGAAAATTATTTTGAATTCTTAAACCTTTGCTGAATTGAAGCAGAATGATCAAAGTTATCCTATATATTCAGAAAAGAAAATCAAAAGGGGGGGGTGTATAATGTAAATTTTTAGATATTGATAGAGAAAAGTGTTAAATTTAAGTTCAAATTGGCCCTGTTTTATCCTTGAACTTTAAAAACAATTAGAATAACTAAAGCTAAGCTCGTTCAAAGCAACGAGTAGGTCTTCCTTCCGATTTTCGATGTTGACTGTGATAGATTTACCCAAAAAAAAAAAAAAAGAAAAAAAGAAAAGAAGGAAGAACAAGTATATTTGAATAAAATAGGCGATTGAATTATTCAAAATATGTTTAGAAACACATGAAAGAGTGATACCTTTTCATTTCAACCCATTTCCGTTTCTTTTAAATTCACTTCCGGTATGACAAGAAGTGCTCAAAACGACTTAAAACTCCACAATGAGTGTGTACAAATCTTTCCTGAAAGTTTGGATGAAAAATACTCATTTTTGGACAACTTCCGGTTTAGAAGAACCAACTTCCGGTGGATATGAAATGACTTGAAACACCCAATATGACTATGTTATAAACATTTAATAATGAAAAAAAATTGCGTATTTTAAAACTTCTTCCGGTGGACAACGGAAGTAACACCGGAAAAAACAAAACACCAAAGGCACATCTACAGATATCGATCAAGATCTATTATCCCAGAAAGTATCATGACTCTATCTTCAACCTTATTTGAGAAGAGGCACAGACAATATTTCAATTTAAAAGGAGAAAATCAGGTAGAACTCGCAACCGGAAGTGACATCAGCAAAATAAAAATTGCCTTAGTTTCATGTAATTTGCCAACCTTGCTGAAGGTTTCATGAAAATCCATCAATGCATTTACGAGAAATCACGTGCACAAAATCGGTAAGAATAATAATAATAAAAAAAAAAAATTGAAAAGACACAACATAATTCCTCTGAGACAGAAGACCTTAATAATTGTATTGCGGGTATTTATGTAGAGGACATAGGCATCGGAAGCAAATTGAAAGTGGGGGGGGGGGGGCTAATTGAAAGAGAGAAAAAAAATTCAAACCTGAAAAAACTTGACCAAAAAAAAAAAAAGAAAATTTGAAAATTGTCCAAACCCGAAAATCCTATTTCGTTGTGTTGGTGGTGTGGGGCCGGAGGGAGGGGGGGGGGGGAGATCAAACTACTTTCAGTACCACTTCTTAAAAAAAAAAAAAAAAAGAGGCCCATGGGCCTCATCGCTCATATGAGTAACTTTGGCCATGCTGTTCTTTACCAGATTTCCCCCCTTGTAATACCTACTGTGGCCCCGCCCTACCCCCAGGGGTCATGATTTGAACAATTTAGAATCTACAATACCCCAGGATGCTTCCAAATAAGTTTCAGCTTTTCTGGTCCAGTGGTTCTTGAAAAGAAGATTTTTAAAGATTTTTCTTATATATTTCAATGTAAAACTTGGATTCCCTATTGTGTCCCGCCCTACCCCAAGGGTCATGAAAAGCTGGTTAAAATAGGCCCAGTGGTTCTTGAGAAGTTGAAAATGTGAAAAGTTTACAGACGGACGGACGACGGACAACGGGTGATCAGAAAAGCTCACTTGAGCTTTCAGCTCAGGTGAGCTAAAAAGTGGGGGCTAAGCCCCCCTACCCCCCCCCCTTCCCCCGGTTTCGACGCCTATGAAGGACTCCATAAGGATTAGATGCTTGTAAAGTTCTTTTATTGTAAAAATTCTTAGATCCAATGTACTAATGATCTTGAAAGAATAAAGAACTCAGAATGGCAGTATCTGGCATGGCTTTATTTTATTTTTCATTATAATATAAGGAAATAACATAATAAAACAATGGTAACAAAACAATGGACAATGATCAAATATTATAGCAAGTGTCAATGAGTAAGCGCCGATTCTCAATATGGCATTTGGCGCATACAATTTGCAGAAACAAGCAGCCATATGGTCCTGACAACCCTGGAAGGTAAACAGAAGTTGCCAGCGATGGCTTGTTGCAAAATTCTGAAGTGCGTCGGCATGGGTTGCAACCTGGAAGGGTCCATGGCGATGGTCGAAGTGGCACTGGAATAACAAAAGGATAACAGCAGAAACTCAGAAGAAAAATACTACTTTTACAACGAAGATCTATAGCCATTTAGCTGTCACTGACCAATCAAAAAGAAACGGAATTAACTTGTAAGTATTTTGGTTTATTTAAACAAATTCATTTGGTCAAATGAAAAAAAAACTGAAAGCAATGCACAGAAAAGGTTTTGCTCTAACATGCCTATGCTGAAAAGCTGTATGAATATATGAAAATTATCTGTCTAGTGTGAGGGAGGTGTATCTAGATGTGTAAAATGGTAGGTGAGGGTCTATGTAATGTTGGTGTAGCTTAATAATAATTAAAATGGGGGGGAGGGGGATGGGTGGGTATTTAAAATTGGTGAAGTGGAAAGGATGGACGAACAGGCGCATTTCATGACCTGGGGCTAATTGGAAAATTTGTTAAGGGGAGCAAAGTTATCGCGCTTAAACAATTCTTCTTCCATAACTGGCACTAACCGCACATGGCGGTAAAAGCAATTATCTTGAAAGAATTCAGAATGGCAGTATCTGTCATGGCGTTATTTTGTTTTGGCGCATACAGTTTGCAGAATCAAGGAGCCGTATGGTGCTGACAACCCTGGAAGTTAACAGAAGTTGCTGGCGATGGCTTTTTGCAAAATTCTGCCAAGTGGATTGCTGTACGCAAATTTCGAGACAGCAATCCATCCACCAACAACTGGCGGACAATTTGGCAAACAAGACATCATGTCTGTAGTACAACGCAAAATTAGCAAAACAATTCAATACAATATACAGGATAGCATTAATGTCTCATTTGACAAGACAACATATGAGAAAATCATCGAGCATGAGCTGGGGAGGGGTGTTGAAAAGGATGAGGAACGCAAATCAATGCAATACACATGTATATCGACAATCATAGACAAGGGAGGGGGGTAGGGATGACATAATGGGGCCTTATTCAAGCCATGAACTGATACTGCGTTTTAAGGGAGGATGGGGAAAGCTTTCTCACTTGACGTGAGGAACTTAGACAATACAGTTTAAATTGTAGCTGTAAAAATAGAATTCGAAAGATGTGATAGATGTACGCAATCAAGGAATAATTTGGGCTGGTCTATTTTAATATCAGGGTGACGTATGAGGGCCCCGTTTAGCTTCTGAATAACAAAACAGCCAAAAGAATTATTTTCATGTATTCTTTTTCTAGATTTCTCTGCACCCTCGCTGGAAATCATGTAACGCCAGTATTTTCGAGTGAGTATATTTGACCATACTAGAAGGGTTTTTGGTGATTTTTTTTATGCAGGGAGGCTAATAATGACTTTATGGCTAGCTGTAGTTTTTTTAAGTGGCTGAAGGCCAATTCTAATACCGCCACAATGAACTATTTTGTCTGATGATGAATGATCCGACGATCCATTTTTTGCAAGTCACTGCAAACTAAGCTTTCAGTTAGTAAGACTAACTATTTACAGGACTATAGTATTTGGGCGAACATAAGACTTGAAAGCATTGTATTTCCATCTACCCATTCTTTTAATTTCTTGCTCTGGAGTACCTTGCATATACAATGAAGTTGCCGCCCCTATGCGAAATGAATGGGATTTCAGCAAACTTGAGGAATGATAGGGCTTTCTTTAGTACTTGATTGAATTGATAGTACGTTAAGGGCGATCCACCCATGTGGCATAAAAAATGTGGTTGTGCCGCTCTCATTTTGGGTAATTATATTCCGATCGGGTTCGGTATCTTGTTTTTTCTGGTAATGGCAGCCATGTGGTTGGGCTGTTGTTTTTGCTGTCAATTTTGGCGAAGTTGGCCTCTCTAAGGAGTAAGTTTTGTATTGTTTCACTTAAATTTATATCTAACTTGACAGTTTTTGTCTTATAGTATAATGCAATATTTCTTATTCTGTTTAAATTCTGCAACTGTATTGTTTTGTATAATCGCGCATTTTCAGCCTACGATAGGCATAGGCCTGTTTAGCTTACATGTCCATGTTACACATTTAAATTTGTATAATTGTTTTGGATATTGATATTTGTCAAAATCTCATTGTAATTTTGTACTTTGTAGTTTTTCACCCTCTCACGAGGATTGGCTAATAAACAGTACAGTGAAAAATCCTTAATCTCTGGCCATTTCGTATGGAGCTTCGCCAGACAAGGAAGATGACAGCTCAGGGATCTCAACAGTTTGAGGAAAGTGTTCTAAACTTTACATCAAAGTTATCTACGATTAAACGAGATATTGACCGTATTATTTCTGAGTCAGAACATGTTGTAGACCTTGCACAAAGTCAACAGATTATTGACAGTGTACAAAAACTTTTGGAAAAGTATGAAGTTCTTAGTAACAATTATGAAGCATTTTTGAAAGGTCACAGAACTGTAGAAAGTGCAAATGAAGAGTCCTCACACAGACTAATTCGTTCATCCTTGCATGCCAAGACTACTGCTTTTATTGAACAGTTACAGTCTGCACTGCCGAAGATGGAATCATCCATGGCACCGTCATTTGTTCCCTCACACATATCGGGAAGATCAGGATCAAGTCACCTCACCGCTGTCTGGATGCAGCATTCTGCAAATGTTGAGAAAGCGAAGGCCCGTTTGAAGTATGCTGCTGAAGAAGCTGAGCTCATTAGGCAAGAGGCTGCTCTGAAAGCCAGTAGAAACTTATTGACGGTTAAGCGTGAGCTTGAAGAAGCTGAATCCGGATTGAGTGCTATTCGTAAAGTGTTAGACTTCTCTCAGTCAACGTCAAGATCGATGGAAAGTGAGCATGGCAGCTACAAACCCTCTTTGTCATCCAAGTTCCATGTGCTTCGTTACATGCAGGAGAACAACAATGATCGTACTCCTCCTCCAGAAGCTCCTGCTGAAGTGAACATTCGTATGTGTGAGAACAACGAAGCTTTCCCACAGGAAGCAAGGCAAACCCCACCGTCTTTGCGCACACCAGAAAATAAGATTAATGAACTGAATCCAAGTGCTGTTCCGTTTACTCCTAAGCAAACTTCAACTGAAGCTGCTGACTTAGCAAAATTAGTTGCCAAGAACCAGTTACTGCCTAGGAGACTCTGGAACTTTAATGATGATCCTGGTAGATACCTGACTTGGAAATACAGTTTCATGAATGTCATGAGTGAAATCAGTGCAACAACACTTGAGCACTTGGACCTGTTAGTGAATCATCTTGGACCAGAATCTAGAATTCAAGCTGAAAATATTCGAGCAACAAATTCACGGAACCCAGAGAAAGCTGTCAAGAATATATGGGAACGCCTAGACCGTGAATATGGGAGTGCGGAAACTATTGAACTGTCACTTAAGCAGCGCATAGACAATTTTGTGGCTCTCACAGATAGCGATCGCAAGAAATTCCTTGACTTGTCCGATTTAGCTGCAGAAGTGGAATCAGTGAAGTGTGATCATGTATTTGGCACAGCATTTTCATATTATGACACGTCCAGTGGCATCAACGAGTTTGTACGTAAACTGCCAAAGCGTTTCCGGGAAAAGTGGGCTTCAGAATGTGACAGATATAAGATGAACAATTATGTTTCACAAGTACCATTCTCTGTGTTTACAAAATTTCTGAGAGATCTCGCGCGTGTGCGTAATGATCCAAGTCTTATGTTTGAGACTTCCTCTACAAACACTGGCCATGGAAACACACAGCCAGCTCAGCAGAGGAGTAAGACCGGACTACGCAACTCCTATCGTCAAACAAGTGTGTCAACTAGGAAGACGGACATTACAACAGATTTGAATTCCAGCATTGTTAAAATGAGTTGCCCCATTCATGGAACTAATTCTAGTCATTCACTTAAGGACTGTATGAAATTCCGCGGAAAATCATTAAAGGAGCGCAAGGATTTCCTTTACAAGAATGGTTACTGTCTGAAATGTTGTGGTTCAAGGCGTCATCTTCGGAAGAATTGTAGAGAGAGTGTGAAATGTGACACTTGTGGATCTGCAGATCATGTTACGATCCTTCACCCTGAGCCTGAGTCTCGAAAGAGTAATGAAGGGGAGCAGTCTCGAGCGAGTCATGAGGGGGAGCAGTCTCGAGTGAGTCATGAGGGGGAGAAACTCCAGTTAAGTACCTACTGTACTAAAGTATGTGGCACTCAGTACAGCACCAGCAAATCGTGTGCAAAGATCCTACCAGTATATGTGTACCCTGTTGGTGAGGAACATCGTGCACGCAAGGTGTACTGCATGATAGATGACCAGAGTAACAAATCGTTGGCCACATCAGCCTTCTTTGATGCCTTTGGGGAGTGTGGTAGAGAGACTGAATATATTCTTTCTTCGTGCTCAGGAAAATCTGTTTCATCAGGACGCAGGGCATCTGGATATGTTGTCAAGTCAGTTGATGGATCATGTACGTTAAGTTTACCCTATGTGATAGAATGTAATGACATTCCAAACAACCGGCATGAAATACCGTCTCCAGCAGTGGCAGATAACTACACACACCTTCATGACATTGCACCCTTCATACCAGATATTGATGACGTTTCTGGAATTGAACTCCTGATCGGAAGGGATCTAGTTACTGCACACCACGTGTTGGATCAGCGTGTTGGAGAAGAGGGACTTCCTTATGGCCAGAAGTTACCCCTAGGTTGGGTTATCATCGGAGATGTATGTCTGGGCAAAGTGCATCAACCAGAGGTGATAAGTGTCAATAAGACTTCAGTTCTCATGAATGGAAGATCCACGCATTTACTGCCCTGTGAAAATGAATTCCTTGTGGAAGAGGAGCCTATCTTCCAACGCATACCAGGGGACGAGAAACCAGGGTTATCAATTGAAGATCGTAAGTTCCTAGACATCATGGACGCTGGTTTCCAAAGAACTTCTGATGGTCAATGGCAGGCACCGTTACCTTTCCGTGATTGTAGACCAGTCTTACCTGATAACAAGTCACTTGCCCTTAGAAGAGCCAGATCATTAGACATTAGCTTGAGATGTAACAACCTCAAACGTGAACAAGTTAGAGAATTCATGGAGAGACTATTCATGAACCGTCATGCTGAGTTGGCACCTGGGTTACCTTTGTCATTGGAGCGATGGTACTTACCTATGTTTGCGGTGTATCATCCCAAGAAACCAGATAATGTGCGAATAGTATTTGACTCATCCGCCAAGTTCCAGAATGTTTCCTTAAACAGTGTCTTGCTTCAAGGTCCAGACTTGTGTAACAGCCTGCTTGGTGTCTTGCTTAGATTCCGAAGAGAAAAGATAGCAGTCACCATGGATGTTGAGCAGATGTTTCACAATTTCAAAGTTCCAGAAGACCAGCGTCGTTACTTGCGCTTTCTGTGGCACTTGGACAATGACTTGGATCAGCCATTAGTGGACTTTCAGATGACTGTTCATGTATTTGGCAACCGTCCTTCACCGGCCGTTGCAACATTTGGTCTCAGGAAGGTAGTCGAGGGATCGTCAGAAGATATAAGAGATTTGGTGTGTAACAACTTCTACGTTGATGATGGTCTTCTATCCAGTACAACAGAAGAGGAGGCCATTAGTCTTGTGCACCGAACCAAGAAAGCATTACAAGATGGAGGAAACATCCGACTTCACAAATTTTCCTCCAACAGTAGGAAAGTATTAGATTCATTTGCTCCATATGACCTGGCAAAGAACTTGAAAAACCTCAACTTTGGATCAACTAACCTCCCAATACAACGGAGTTTGGGTTTGTTATGGAACACAGAGATGGATGAATTTACCTTTGAAGTTAACCCAGTGGAGAAAGCATACACAAGACGTGGACTGTTATCTACCATAAACAGTGTATATGACCCAGTTGGTTTTGCTCAGCCTGTCGTTATCAGAGGCAAGTTATTGTTACGCCAAATGATGTCCGTGACAACGAATACAGACTGGGATGATCCGTTGCCTGCATTCCTACATGACGAGTGGTCATCATGGGTTGATTCTCTGAGTCAACTGGAAAACTTTTGTGTGCCAAGGAGTTACAACAGTTCATTTGTAAACTCAACCAGACGTGAGGTACTTGTATTCTGTGATGCGTCCAAGGACATTATTGCTGCGGTAGCATATCTCAAACTTCAGGACAATGACACATCAAGTACCAGCTTCCTGCTTGGAAAGGCCAAGGTCGCCCCAGTCCATGGGCACACTATTCCACGGCTTGAGTTGTGTGCAGCGGTATTAGCAACAGAAATTGCTGAGTTTGTTAGAGATCAGCTGAAAATTCCAGCAGAGGACTTTCATTTCTTCTCAGACAGTCAGATAGTACTTGGCTATATCTCGAATGAAAGTCGCAGATTTTATGTCTATGTTGGGAACAGGGTGGCACGTATTCGTCTGTTTAGTAAACCTTCCCAATGGAGATTTGTTCAGTCTGAGCTTAATCCAGCTGATGTTGCTACCAGGCTTGTACACCCTTCTACTCTTCAAGATTCGAGCTGGATATGTGGACCAAACAGTTTGTTCAGCACTCCTATTGGAGACTTTGAATTAGTGGATCCAGAGCATGATACCCAGATTCGCCCAGAGGTGACCAGCAGCAAGACTGACACAATAGACGTCAAACAGTCAATTCAAGAGGCAAAGCCATCAACTTGTCAGACAGAAGTGTTTTCTGAAAGGTTCGCTAGATTTTCTAGATGGGACATGCTTGTACGTGCAGTTGCCCGCTTAAAGTTCATGACTAGACAGTTTCAAAAAAACAAAGACAACTTACCTGATAGTCCCAGTGACCCAGAACTCTTGAAGGAGAGTGAGCGTTCTATTCTAGCATCTGTCCAGAGAGACGTGTTCAGTACAGAATTTCGTTGTATAGAGGATGGCAAAGACATTCCCAGTACTAGTACAATCAGACCTTTATGCCCAAGAATGGGCGCAGATGGGCTGCTACATGTTGGTGGACGATTGAACAATGTGTCGTTGATGTGCTAAATGATAACTTGCGCAACCCTATTATCCTACCAAAGAACCATTATGTCAGTTACCTCATTATACGTCACTTACACCAGAAGATATTTCATCAAGGCAGACACTTCACGGAGGGAGCTGTACGTTCTGCTGGATTCTGGGTAGTGAGTTCGAAACGGATGACTACTTCAGTGATAAAGAGCTGCGTTGTATGTCGTAAACTTCGTGGACAACCAGAATGGCAGCATATGGCAGATCTTCCGGAGGATCGGTGTAGACCATGTCCCCCATTTTCTTATGTGGGTATCGACACTTTCGGTCCATGGCCTGTTGTGCATCGTCGAACTAGGGGTGGAAGTTCAAGTCAGAAACGTTGGGCTATATTGTTTACTTGTTTTGTGACAAGGGCCATTCACATTGAGGTTATTGAAGAACTTACCAGTGGTGTATTCATAAATGCTTTGAGGCGTTTCATCGCAATCCGTGGTCAAGTCACGCAGTTCCGCTCCGACAGGGGAACAAATTTTGTCGGTGCAGTAAGTGACCTCACTATTGATGCTGAATTCATAGAAAGTGGTCCTGTTTCCAAGTTCCTATCAGATTCCCGGATTGTTTGGAAATTCAACCCCCCACATGCTCCTCACATGGGAGGGGCATGGGAAAGACTCATTGGTGTCTCAAAGAAGATTTTGAATGCTATGCTACTGGATCACAGGCAGAAAGACATTACACATGACGTACTGATTACGTTTATGGCCGAAGTGTGTGCGATTGTTAACAATAGACCATTAACAGATGTTTCGAGTGACCCAGAGGCTCCGACACTACTTACCCCATCGATGCTTCTGACAATGAAGACCAAACAGGACATCGAGCCTTTTCCGTCATTTGGTAGCAAAGATGCTTTAAAGTCTACATGGAAGCGCGTGCAAGTGTTGGCCGAAGAATTTTGGCATAGATGGAAAACAGAGTACATACATAACCTACAACATCGTAGGAAGTGGCAAGGTCATCCTGTGAATCTAAAGTCCGGGGACTTAGTCCTAATGATGGAGGATGACTCTCCGCGCAATGAGTGGCCCATCGGGATCATACAAAGAACATTCTGTAGTCAAGACGGAAAGATCCGTAAAGCTGAAATTGCAGTTTGTAAGGACAACAAACGTGTTGTGTATGTGAGACCTATTACTCGACTTATCACCCTTTTAGAGACTGATTGACATTTGAACTCTGTGTGATTTAATGGTAACAAGATTTGTTAGGTCATGATTAGTGTATCAGTTAGCTCAGTATGTATAATGTCAGATTATGTTTTTGTAGTTTATGGTACAGAGTGAAAAGTATCTTTAATATTTTTGGTAGATAAGTGATTTTAAGTAAAATCAGAGGGGGAGTGTGCCGCTCTCATTTTGGGTAATTATATTCCGATCGGGTTCGGTATCTTGTTTTTTCTGGTAATGGCAGCCATGTGGTTGGGCTGTTGTTTTTGCTGTCAATTTTGGCCTCTCTAAGGAGTAAGTTTTGTATTGTTTCACTTAAATTTATATCTAACTTGACAGTTTTTGTCTTATAGTATAATGCAATATTTCTTATTCTGTTTAAATTCTGCAACTGTATTGTTTTGTATAATCGCGCATTTTCAGCCTACGATAGGCATAGGCCTGTTTAGCTTACATGTCCAAGTTACACATTTAAATTTGTATAATTGTTTTGGATATTGATATTTGTCAAAATCTCATTGTAATTTTGTACTTTGTAGTTTTTCACCCTCTCACGAGGATTGGCTAATAAACAGTACAGTGGTGTTTGGGTTTGCAGTGGTCTGTGGGTCATGTATGCTTGAATGTTGAGAAATAGAACCTGATTTTGCTTTGTGCTGTTAATTTTGCATACTTGTGCCTTTGCCATGTTGATCTGTTTTGGTTTTCCCTAATGTAATCAGTATGGATGATTGCGAGAGGGATACATTTTGTATTGATAATGGGGAACTGGTGGGGTTTGCCTTAGTGGTAGTTATCTCCTTGACTCTAATTAATGCAAAAAATGCAAGGCCATATGCAGAGGAGAAATTTCTCGTAATAGTTGCGGCATACACGTTGCAAAGAATCTATTATCTTAACTAATTAGGTAGATGTTATCGGACTTCTCGATTCTTTTCTCTGTTTAAGTTGTTGAAAGCCATGGAACATTTTCTTTACTATGAATTTGAAAAACTGCCATTGATCTGGGAAGTTACCTTGTTTTTTGCTGAAGTTTAAGCCTACTAGGTAGGTCTTTGCTGTAGAGTATGTTGTCCCTTTTGATGATAGGTAAGCAATATAGTTTATTAACTGGTCTACTGGATGGGGCCACAATTTCTTAAAGTAAATGAGTTTTCTAAATTGTGAAAATAAGTCGAGGCCTTTCTGGTATATTGCTTGAGTGTTATGAAAGACTGATGCTCTGAGTAGCTACTTCCTGCTCAAATGAATCCAGAGTTCCGGAGGAACTTGGCAGGGATAGTAGTCTGCGTGGGGGTCAGCTTCCTGAACATTAGCCACTGAAAACGTAATATGGCATCAACAATAGAATTAGAATGACCTGATATGTGTTCGCATCGCACTTGAATATTGTATTTTAGTATTTTGTAGAGAAAGGGTCTGAGAAGGGACATAACTCTTGGAGACTTTGATGTTTTGGGTTGATTATCTCAACAACTGCCATGTTATCAATATGCAAAATTATTTTTTGCCTTGGAGTTTGTGGCCCCATATGTGAATTGCAAGAGCAATTTGGACTTAATCGAGATAAGTCAGATCTCTACAATCAGAAGGCGACCATTCTGAGGGCCACTGTAGGTAGGACCATTGTGTACCAAATATGACCCCACGCCCAAATGAGCCAGAGCTATCGGAGTATATGTGGAAAGTGTCTTTATCTGACCAAAGAATATCTGGAAACAAAGAAGTGCCATTAAAGTCAGATAGGAACGCAAGCCAAATATCTACATTTTCGCGAAGTGCCCTTGAAATGGTGATATAATGATTTTTTTTGTATTCTTGCGAGAGGCTGTCATAGAATCGTTTACAGAAGGCTCTACGTGCAGGCATTGCCTTGGAGATAAATGCCAAGGATCCTACTAATGATTGCATTTCTTAAAGTGTAATTTTGCGACGCGAGGCAACATTTTGCATGCATATGGGGCTTCAAGGGGATGGGATTAACTTTATCTTTAGGGACAAAGATGATTTGGTTGATGGTATTTATCCCTAACCTTAGAAATGTTAATGATGTTGTAGGCCCTTCAGTTGATTTCCTCTGATGGAGGAACGCCAAGTGTTTTGCGAGTTGTGTCCAATGTTTGCATGAGGTTTTAGCACACAAGGGTTTTTGCAGGGCCTGCAAAAAGGAATCTAGATAGTGGACTAAAGTGTCAATTTTGACTTGATCCTATACTATGCAACAGAGGGTTGTTGCAAATTCCAAATTTTTCAAATGTGGCACAAGCTATAGAACAATCAAATGGGAGGCATTTATTGATATAATAATTTTTGTAAATGGAAACCAAGCAAAGAAAAGTCTTCGGGACGAATAGGAAGGAGTCTGAATGGAATGAACTAGCCCGGTAAGGCTCCCTGGTCGAGTTCTTGTATCATTTCTACTGTTGAGTCAAATGATGTGTAATGAACATTGCATAGATCTTGGTCAATAAAATCAAAAATGCTATTTCCGTAGGGTGCAGATAAGTTACAAATCATACGCCCCCCCCCTGCTTTTTGAGAATAATACATATTGGACTGCACTTGATATTTGACATGGGAACATTTTCGAAGGGCTCAACTATTCTGCCTAATTTTACCTCTTGATCAATTTGTTCCTGAAGCTGATCTGGGTTTGTTTGGGCAGATTTCATGTTTTTAGATTTTTGAAATTCCCGAATACCCGAACAGTGAATGTTGAAACCATATTGAAAGCCATTGATTAATTCATGAGCTATGTGTTGCAATGGGTCGTTTTGAAGCAATGATTTTAGAATGTTAACGTTGACTGGTGTTGAGACCAAGGCCCAGAGACCTTTGGTAGTTTGGAGGCGGCCCTCGACCTTCAAATCTGCTTGAGGATGTCGGGTTTGTTCAGCTTGAGACGATCGAGAGCTCTCTGTGCGAAACGGCTGATTGCTGTGCCAGCGGCATTTTGTGAGTGCATGAATATTAGAACATTTTATGCAAGCATGTTGGTAAGAGTATGGTCTGTCACAAGTACGTTTGTAATTGAAATCGAAGCATTTGGGTGATTTAGATGTATAATTAGGTAATTGCTGGGATAGGGTGAGTTGTCCATGGGCCACATACAAAAGCCAAAATTCTGCATCGACAGACCACCAGTCGAGTGTATGATTCCTGGATCTCTTTGGCCTGAATTGTATATCGTTATTGAGCAAATTTAAGTTTGGCGATCACTGAGCAGCGGTGCGTATGATGTTAATGTATATTTAAGGATTAACTGAATGTGTTTAGGGAACTTAGTGAGGTATATGCTGCTAAATATTAGAAAGGCGTTTGTCCATGTTTCGATTGATGTTATTTTGATTTTCTTAAGATTAGCCTTCAAAACCAGCTCACCATTGCTGGGGCTCGTCATTTGGTTTGATGGGGAGCAATTTGTGCAGGTGGATGAATGATTATCAAAGATATCAAAGATATTTTGCCTTAAATTATCTGAAACATGAACACCCAATGCATCTGTAACACTTTTTAAAGCATTTGGTGTATTTGCAACAGAATTTGCATTAGCACATGATGCTGTACCTGCAGAATGTTGGTGATGCCTCTGGGGGGTCAGTAGGTGCCATGATTGATGGTGGTGCAGCTGTTGGACATTGAAGTGAGGTTGCTGTCATCCTGGGTCGATGCGACTTCCTCGGCTGGATCTGGTACTATGAGCACAGGTGTGACCTGGTTCTGTCGAGTCGTTGTGGTATTAGATAGTTTCGTCTTTTTTGGCAGCAGCTGAAGCACATCCAGGTCTGGCATATGGGGATTTGGAGGCTCTATTTGTAAGGAGCATTTTCTGCAAAACAAACGACTGTGTAATCTTGCGTTACCACTAAATATTTATTTTTTTAATTAGTTGCTCGAGGCTGTGACTGATTATTTACCAACAATATCGCTGACTGAACAAAAAAATATTAAGCAGATTTCTTTATTGTTGAAATACCGCCATTATTAAAAGGTGATCTTGAGACTTGGCAGCTAAATCCGCAGCCATCCTGGATGCTTAGGTGAAGGAAACGCCCAATTCGCTTCCAATGCCTCACCAGGTGATTAATACATTCCGAAATCCTGTGTAGCAGTTTCTGTACGATACAATATACCTACTGCTTGTGATGGAGCTTGAAGCTGACATCTCTGCCTTCTCTCTGTTCAAAATTGATGAAGCGGAAAAGATGTGCGCGCAGGCGCATTTCATGACCTGGGTTTAATTGGGAAATTTGGTAAAGGGGAACAGAGTTATCGCGCTTAGACTATTCTTCTTCGATAATTGGCACTTAACGCACATGTCGGTAAATGCAATTAATTACGCCTAGCCAAAGATGTTGTAAGGTCACGTGGTCAGCTTAGCGAGTGAGTTGTATTTTGGAACCCGCACGCTGACCACCGTTTACACGAGGCACGTCTAATTTGAAGACATTACAACTTTTTGTGTTTGTAAGTTAGTTAGAAGGCGTGCTTTCCCATTCTGTCGAGTACCTGGCGTTTGAAAAAAAGCAAAAACAAAGTACGATCGAGTACTGTCACAGTTTGTGCTGTTTGACTTTACTTTACTGTTTACAGTACTTGACCGATGGCGTTGGTGGTAGATGTGCGCGGGTCATATACATGGACAGAAATTTCAATGTCCATGTGGTGTGTATTTTTCTGATGATTAATTTTTGGAAAGGCACTCTGTCGTAAATTGATGGACGGAGGTTCATAATGGGAGTGCTAATATTCCGTGGTTATTTATTTTATTTTTGCCGCCAAACGTAGATTTCCTCCAGATTTGAAAATAATAGAAGTAAATTTAATAACTGAACGACGTTAACCGGAGACATTTCGATCATTAGAGACAAGGAGATGTTATTATATTTGCCAGTGTCTGCGGAATGACGTTGATGTTTAAACGAATGTACACGCAGCATAAGATCATGACCGAGTTTTTGTCGGATTCACTTTTGGCACCACAGAGGTTTCAGGAAGGA